TGATTATCTTATTATCCAAAATAAGTGGGAAAAGGCTTTAATCAAAGTGTGTTAACTTATTTTTTACTTCAAAACAATTTATAAAATCAGAGAGAAAAGGGACTGGAGTTGTAGCTCAGCAGTAGAGATCTTACCTTATATGTGTGAGTCACTAGGTTCAATTCCCAGCACCACATACAAACAAGCAAATATATTAAAGGTCCATCAATAACTAAAAAAAATATTTTTAAAAATATCAGCGAGAAAGGAACTCAGAATTGTATTGGGGTCCATAGCCTCTGAATCTGAAGCACTCCTTTTGTTCCACTACCCTTTTCGCCTTTCACTACAGTCCTCTCTAAACCCTGCTTCAGGAGCTAATTTCTTCCTTCAATCTTGTTGTTCACCTTTCAGAAAATCATCAACATTTATGATGACTTGGTGATATCCCCCCTCCCACTTTGGTAGCAATGATAAAAATTTCTTTATTTTTCAAAATAGCTTTTCCTTCATTTCTGGGAATTTGGAAAAAGAGTAAAAGGAAATGAGTTTTAGAGTGGTAGTAGAGTTGGAAAGTTAGCAGAAAGCCACAATATAGAATCTTGAACACTCTGTTATGGAGTTTCTATATTCTGTGATAGAATAAATAGAACTCAGACTGAACACAAAGGGAAAAAAATCATGTAGAAAATGGGACTCCATCAAAGATATTTTGAAAGGTTAACCATGACTACAATTTGTCCAGTGAATTGGAGAAGAGTTGGTAGGCTATTGAATGGTACAAATGAGGAGGATGTATAGAGTCTTGAACTAGGGTAGAGACATCCTAGAGGCCCTGTCACTAATTCACACCAATAGAATGCAATAAAGTAGGGCTGGGTAAGAAACCAGTCACACTATGCAAACACCTAATGCCAGAAGTCATAAACTGACCATCCACAGCTCATATAACATGCCTCACTGAGGTTCAAAAAATATCTTCTAAATTAGCTGCCAACATTTAAAAATTCAGAGATTTCTCCTCCCAAATCTGAATTTTTACTGTTCTTGAAATATACATATTTCCATGAAGAACTCCCTTTTGCTCCAAGATTTGGTAACATTTTGGACACACATTCCAACATGGCAATGCACAGAGCACAAGCATTAGCCCTGGGTCTCCATATTGTTTTGTCCCTGGCAGCTTGACTCATTAACATTACCACCTTGGTCTCCACAAACATTGAGTTTGCATTCCTAGCCCTAGGGCTATAGAGATTTCATCTGAAAAGTTTTGTTTAGTTTTGGTACTATCCATGAGCTCACCCCCACATGAAAGAGAATTATCTTTAATTAAAGGTGTAACTCTCACTCCAAGGAGCAGAGAATTTTCCTCATGCAGCAGTCAGTGTTAACAAATAAGAAACTAGACTTAGCCATAGCAATACTAAAGCAATAATAAATAATAAAAATAATAATAATAAAATAAAAATAAGCCATAGACCAATAATAAAGACAAATTCTGAAAACTGGTTCTCCACGCATTGGTTTAGAATTTCAGTTCAGAAACTTCTGACAGATATAATTTCCCTCATGAACATTCTCTCCAGCCTCCATCCCACCTCACCCACACACAGAAGTGCAGCTCCATACTTCACCTTCACCTTCACCATTCTGTTAGATCACTGAAATGGTAACAGAAATTTTTATCATCCTGACTCTAGTTTTAAAAAAGAAAAAACAAAAGAAAACCTGGTGATGCCAGGTGCAGTTATTCATGCCTATAATTCCAGTGACTAAGGCAGAAAGATCACAAGTTCAAGGCCAGCCTCAGTAATTTAGTGAAACCCTGTCTCAAATTTTAAAAATTCAAAAAAAAAAAAAAAAAGGCTGGGATTGTAGCTCAGTGGTGGAGTGCATGCCTAGCATGTGCGAGGCACTGGGTTCAATCCTCATCACCGAGTTCAATCCTCAGCACCGCATAAAAGCAAATAAGTTTTAAAAAGGTATTGTGTCCTTCTACAACTAAAAAAATGTTAAAAAGAAAGAAAGAACGGAAGAAAGGAAGGAAGGAAGGAAGGAAGGAAGGAAGGAAGGAAGGAAGGAAGGAAGGAAGGAAGGAAGGAGAGAGGCTGGGGATGTGGGTGAAGGTAGAGTGCTCCTGAATTCAATCCTCAGTACTACCCAAAAGAAAACTGATGAAAAGGAAAGTTCCCAAGGTATAGCCACATAAATTATTACAGATCAAAAGGAATCAGAAACCTATACTTGATTTGGGGGTGTAATTTACTGGTAGAGATTGCGCTTAGCATGGATGAGAATCTAGATTCAATCCCTAACCAAAAATAAAAAATAAAAACAAATCATTTGATGGAATAAACCACCAACCTTCTATTTAATCATCATATATCAGAAGCATTAATATAAAAATCAAGCTCAAGACATAGAGATCTGTTATCACTATTAATAACTTTCTAGTGGATATATAAAAGAATTAAGAAAAATAAACAAAGCAACAACAACAAAGAAAGACCTTTGATTTGCAAAAGATCTCATCCTACCTATAAGAATTGAGAGAAATGACTGAAAAACTATTAAAACTAGTAGGAAAATTCACTAAGGTGACTGAATACAAAATTAATACCAAAAAAAGTATTCATTCTTTTATATATCAGCAATAATCACAGAAGGAAAACGAATTAAAAGTCAAGGGCTTGGGCTATAGCTCAGTGACAGAGCACTTGCCTAGCATGCAAGAGGCCTTTTGTTTGATTCCCAGCATTACAAATAAAACAAAAAAGATAAGTGAAAATTCAAACACAGTAATAAACAAAACTATTAAATACCTGGAATGAAATTACTAAAAGGAATGAACAAACAGGACACAATAGCACATGCCTGTAATCCCAGCAACTCAGGAGGCTGAGGCAGAAGGACTGCAAATTCAAGGTCAGCCCCAACAACTTAGTAAGACCCTCTCCCAAATTTTAAAAAAATAAATAAATAAATAAATAAAGGAGAGGGAACCTGGGAATGTAGGGGAATGTAGTTTAGTGGTAAAATATCCCTGAGTTCAACCTCTAGTACCAAAAAAAATAATAATAATAAGGTAAAAACTAGGTCACATTATACTGGACAGGGAGATTCCTTAAGGGCTTAAGGCCTGTCCAATCACTAACAGAGAGTGGGCTGGAACCTACTATAAGAGACTGACCTCTGAATGATCAATGAACAACTCTGTCAAAGCTTAGTATAGGCATATAACCCAAAAGGATATCATGGCTTTTCTCCCCAGTGACACTCTAAACCTGATCAATTCCTGCATCTCCTTGGATCAGTTCCATATCATGGGAAACTGTTCAAAACTGTTCTCAAGTTTCTCTGAGTGCACAGATGAAACAGAATTAACCCACAGAGAACCAGGACTCATCACTTTTCCAGAGTCAGATAAATGTCAAGAAGAGAAAACTTTTCTAAGAAACAGATTTCTGGCAGCAGGGCATGGTGAAACATGCCTATAATACCAGTGACTCAGGAGGCTGAAGCAGGAGGATCACAAAACCAAAGCCAGTCTCAGCAATTTACAGACCATGTCTCAAAAAATAAAATAAGGGGCCAAGGTTGTGGCTCAGTGATAGAGTGCTTCCCCAGCACCACATTAAAAAAAAATTAAATACACAAATTAAATAAAATAAATAAGGGCTGGGTATGTGACTCAATGGTTAAGCAACCCTGAGTGTAATCCAAACAAACAAAAAAGAAGAAACTAAAGTTTTTGGCAGGGGCTAGGGGTATAGCTCAGTGGCAGAAGGCTTGCCTCATATGTCTGAGCACTGGGTTTAATCCCCACCACTGCAAGGGAAGAAAAAAAAATTTACAGAAAAATTGACTCGTTGTATATGTGGAAATATACACTTCAATGTTATATCTAAATATAATTTTTAAAAACTGTTTTGGAATGTGTTTACATTATTAAGATATCCCCAATTACTAAAGTCCCTAATATTTCAGAATTTGTGCCTATTTGACTACAGTTTGGTTTCAGGATTATGTTTTCACTCTCTGCACAATTGTTTTCTATGACAATTTATAATGTAAACAAAAAATGTAAAGCATGAGAGAAGAATCAGTCAGATAAGCATTCTTATCCATTAAATTAAAGCAGGTCACCTGAGGAGTTTTCTAGATAATACTTCATTCACCCAATAATAATGAGTAAATATAGTTGAAATAATAAAATAAACATCTGTTTTAAAACATCCTTCAATCAAAGTATTTTATTAAATCAACCCACCTCTTATACCTTAATTTTAATTACCAAGGTTTGTTTTTTTGTTTGTTTGTTTTGTTTTGAGAGAGAGAGAGAGAGAGAGAGAGAGAGAGAGAGAGAATTTTTTTTAATATTTATTTTTTAGTTTTTCGACAGACACAACATCTTTGTTTGTATGTGGTGCTGAGGATCCAACCCGGGATGCACACATGCCAGGCGAGCGCGCTACCGCTTGAGCCACATCCCCAGCCCAGGTTTGTTGTTTTTGTTGTTGTTGTTGTTTGTTGTTCTTGTATGTGTTTTACTAAGGATTGAACTCAAGCAGCAAGCTCAGCCAGCCCTCTTCCCACACACTTTTATTTTTTTTTAGACACTGTATCACTAAGTTGTCCAGGCTAGCCATGAATTTACTTTTTTTGGGGGGGGGGGGTACTAGGAATTGAACACAGGTATGCTTTACCATTTAGCTGTATCCCCAGTCCTTTTAATTTTTTATTTTAAGATAGGATCTTGCTAAGTGGCTTGGGGACTTGCAAAATTGCTGAGGCTGGCCTCGAACTTGCAGTCCTCTTGCTTCAACCTCCAGAGTAACTGAGCTTTCAGAACATATACCATCCTGCCCTGCTGCCTTGAATTTACAATCCTTTTGATTGAGCCTGGGAGTAGCTTGAATTAAAGGCCAGCACCACCAGGCCTGGCCAATTACTAAGGTTTCATAAGCAAAAATAAGTAACTCTAAACTGAAATAGGAAATAAAATTTTCTATTCTTACCTTTGATGATCTCCATTCCCAACCATCACCTATCTGTTGTGAATGTTTAATGAATTCTGAACAATGATGCTGGAATGTTTTTTCTCCAAAAAATTCATCTTCTTCCATTTTAAATGATAACTGCAATATAAAAACTCAGTATTGGCAACAGCTTGAGAACAAATACTAAAAGGAATTCTGTTAATTGGTTTATTTCTTTAAACAAAGTTTGAGCTATACAATAATATAGAAAATAACTTCATGGCCATTCCAAAAAATGGTCTGTTTCCATCTTTCACACCCTGTTCTCATTTCCTTTATCAGTCAACAAGAAAACTCAAAACCTAGATTTGTAACAAATATGTATATAGAGAGGTTTTCTCCCTCTGTTTGATTTTTGGTTTGTTTAGTTTGGTTTTTGGTGTTTTGTTTTTGTTTTTGATTTTTTTGTTTGTTTGTTTGTTTGAGTTCTGGGATCGAGTCCAGGGCCTCATGCATGCTAAAAATGTATGCTACCACTGAACTACACTCTCAGCCCCGCATCTATGTTTTTAATAATGACAAGGGTGATGTTGAATATAGAATAAGTCCTCACTATTATATTTTACTAGAACCTATACTTAGTAAAATGTTTATTTTGACCCAATGTGGTGGACATCCCTATAATCCCAGCCATGGGAAGGGGCAGAGTGCTGACACAGAAGGTTCACAAGTTCGAGGCCAGCCTGGGCAACTTAGGGAGATCCTATCTAAAATTAAAAAATTAAAAGGCTGGATGTAGCTCAGTGGTTGAGTGCTTGTAAGTTCAATCACCAATACTGGGAGAAAAAAACTATTTGGACCCAGGGCCAATAATCTGTCTATAATAGCTGATTTCCAAATCAGTGTTCTGCTTATTCAGATTTGGTAGGTATAGCCTATATAAGAATATATTCATTCGTCCAACAAATACACATTGAGTATATATTAAATAGTAGGCACTGTGCTTATATAGAGGTTAAATATTTTTTAAATGAAAAAATATATATTCCTTGAACAAAGGGAGATAAGTAAGAAAAACAATTATAGTAGAAACTTTCACTCTCTTCCTCCCCACCCTGCTCTCTTTTGGCACTGAGGATTGAACCTGGAGGCACTTTACCACTGAGCTACATCCGCCAGTTCTTTTTATTTTTTTATTTTGAGACAGGGTCTTGTTGTGTTGCTTAGGGCCTAAGTTGCTGAGGCTGGCTTAGAACTTGTGCTCCTCCTTCCCCAGCCTTCTGAGTTGCTGAGATGACAGACATGCCCAGCTACAATAGAAACTCTCTTAACTAATCTCCATTCAACAACACACTAGATTAACTGTCACAATGTCCAGTCTCTTTATGTAACACTAACTACTGACTGCAGTATGCCGAACATGAAGCATCCCTGCTCCCATCATGATAGGGGTTTTGGCACAGAAGGATGACTTCAACAATACACTAGACATCTTGCCCCTTTCAAGTGAAGAAAAGGCATTTGATATCTATAAAATTCAGAGAAGTCTTTAAAAGGAGACTGAAAATTGAGGAAGAAGTCACAAGACATTTTGATGCAGGGGCAGGTAACATGCTGTAGAGAGTAAGAGTTCAGAGAAAGGGGAACGTCCAAGAAAACTAGTGTAGATTTGGAATTGCTGGTGAGGAAAATGGAAGGTCAACATTAAGTTGCTGAGGCTGGCCTGGAACCTGTGATCCTGTTGCCTCATTCTCCCAAGTCACTGAGATTATAGGTGTGCACCACTGTGTGTGGCAAGAGGACAGCATGAAGGGTGAGCAGATGGAAGTGAAGATTCAACATGGGTAGAGACCATGTATTTATAGTGCCACACTCTGAATTGTTGAGATTGTCTTCAGAGTGTTCAGCTTTCCCCTCTCCAGGTATGGGAATCAGCACAGAGAAGGTACATTATTAATAATATAAAGTTGGAGGCTGGGGATATAGTTGTATACTAAAGCACTTGCCTACTATGTGGGAAGCCCTGATTCAATCCACAGCACCACTAAAAAAAAGTTGTGTTTTTGCTGGGTTGATTCAATAGAAGGACAAGATTGTAGGTGGTGAAAGGAAATGCTTGTGAGAATAGCTCAAAAATCTAGGTTAGGTAGGAAAGAGGTTGAAGGGACTGAGAAAACATAGAAGAATTGAAGAATATGAGATGCCAAAAAGGTCTGGGCATAGAGATGCACACCTGTAATCCCAGTGACTCAAGAGGATCTCAAGTTTGAGGCAAACCTCAGAGCAATTCAGCAAGACTCTCAACAACATAGTGAGACCCTATCAAAAAATAAATCATTAAAAGAGCTGGGGATGTAACTCAGTGGTAGAGCACACCTGAGTTCAAAAAAAAAGATATAGAAAAATTAAAGAACTGTAGTAAAAGGAGAGAAATGAAAAAATTGGAAGACTATATAGATATTAGAATCCGATGGTCTCAGCTGTGAGTACCATGGGAGTGAGTACATATAGTAGTTTGGAGATGAACATGATGAGAGATCTGGAAGTTTAAAGAAACATGAGGCTTGCATCCTTCTCAAGGTGACACTAAAGGTTATACCACTAAACAGAGATAGCAGGTAAGAAGAAAAACTGACCTTGCCATAACTTGTAGAACTGAATTAAATGAGCCTCAAAGGAGTAGGGCCTTTTACATGAGGGTTGAAGGAAGTAATCACCAAACATTGGTATCAGGAATTTGGGGGCTATCAGCAATCTTCACACCCAGAGTCATGTGAGATGGAGAAAAAAGTAGCTTCCACTTAAAAGGCTTCAGAGTTTTTCTGAAAGCCCACTTTCTTTTAAAGCTTGGGATGAAACTCAGTGGTAGAGCACTTGCCTGGCCCTGGATTCAACCACTAGCATTACAAAACACACTTAATACAATCTAGTTTATAGCGGCACGGCACTAATAAAGATATTACTATTATTTGAGATTTATATATGAAAACCAATCCACATTGTATGAACCATCCCCCAAGCTGGAGATACACAAGGCATAGTGTGGTATGGGAACCATTAGCTAAATGTTTCTCTTTTGACCACAGAATTCAGTTTCCTAGAAACACTTTTTAACATACATCACAGAATATGTAGTAGGTGGGTTGAGTTAAGATAAATTTCTTTACTATGAATATGTGCTTTTGGGAGAGTGGGAGAACAGGCTAGGAAAAGAAAGCACCAACGCAGGAGGGTAATGCAGAAGACACAATTGCAGGGACTCCCACTGAGGCATTCATCAAAATTCCAAAATGTAAGTGAAATCTCCAGATTACACACAGAATTCTGGTTTTAAAGCTGTCAAAATTCAATGCAGACAGAAGTTGAGAAAGTGACATCACAAAAATACTAAAAAAAAAAAAAAAAAAAAAGCAGTTAACCAAACAAAAGTGGGGAGATGATGGGAACAGAATTTGTAAAAGACTGCATAAAGAGAAAGTTTTTTTAAATTGAGGAACTCTTGTTTGAAATTTAGAGGTGGAGAGAGGGTATTAGAAGAACTTGTGTTGATAAAGACCAGAGTCCCTAGCCAGAGGGTTCATAGGAGTTTTGAAAGTGGAAGTACACTAATCAGATTTGCATTCTGACTTCTAGTGATTCTGCAGTCTTGCCTGAAGGAATGAAACAGGTGAACGTCTTTTATGGTAATCCAAGAGACACTGTGATGCTAAATAAAGCCAAAGATTTGTGGTAGAGCAGAAGAGGAGGGAGGAATTCAGAAATTGGGTAATTGAACCTAGAGGCACTTTACCACTGACCACATCCCCCCGCCCTTTTTATTTTGAGTCAGGGTTTCACTAAGTTGTTTAGACCTTGCTTAGTTACTAACACTGGCCTAGAACTTGTGATCCTCCTGACTCAGCTTCTGGAGTTGCTGGGATTATAGGCATGCATCACCCAGGCATGGCTTCAATTGTCCTTAATTGACTTAAAAATCAATAATTTGGGGAGATCACACAGCTGGGCAATACATTATTACTCCCTCACTAGTTTTGCTGTAGATTACGCCCAACCATTGACTAGGTTTTTCTTTGGGGACCTGAAATCAGTGCTGAAAACACTAACTCTTCATTTAGACCTACAGATATCTGATGGGGGACTGGAAAGGAAGGAAAAGGCTTGGCATCCCTGTCTTCATATTGGGTCTGTCTCCTTTGTTGCCTTAATCTTTGGGTCAGATTCTACTCAGCTCTGAATGTAGACATGTTAATCATCTGAGAAATGTTTGTCCTAAACAGTAGTACAGGGCTATCTTGACCTAGACTTGTGTAGTCTCCCTCCCCCACGCCACTCTTCCTCGAAGGCACCTACCAGCCACCATAACTGGAAACACCAGACTATAAAAGGAATGACAAAAGGTGGCACTCAAGTTCCTGGAAGATTGCCATTGATTCCCAGAAAAGACATGAATATTCCTCCCCTTTATTAGCTTATCCCTCTCCCTCATTATTCCTATCCAGTATCTGTAGCCTTTCCACCCACTGAAATTGAGAAGCTGATTTGTAAGCAAAGCTCCCTCTTCTCCATTCTTCAGCCACTGAATAAATCCTTTCTCCCTAACACTCCTCTCTGACATTGGTTTCTCAGTGAGATGAGACTCTAAACCTGGGTTTCATAACTTTTTTTTTTTCTTTTTGGTACCAGGGATTTTACCCTGGGGTTCCTTACCACTCAACTTTATCCCCAGTCTTTTTTATTTTTATTTTTTATTTTGAGACAATTTACCAAGAGTGGCCTCAAACTTACTATCTCTTGCCTCAGGTTTCCAAGTCTCTATGATTACAGGTGTGTACCACTGTGCCTGGCATCAGTATCATTTTGATAATATACTTATTACTGCTGACAAGCTTTGGTATGTGAGGGAGAGGGAAGAGAAAAGATTCAAAAATGGTTCCAAGTTTCCTGCTGTATGTGGTGGTGTACTGACTACAACAGAAATCCCTAGAGGAAGAACAAGATTTAGAGAGGTAGGATTCATTTAGCCAAAAATGAATTGGAGTTTGAAATGTCTGTGGGATGTGCAAGTAAAGGAGTCTAGCAGGCATTTTAAGATAAGCCTTGAACTCAGAAGAAAAGAAAAATCTAGACTGGAAATAGTGACTCTATATCAGCATCACATA